TAGGTGTAGAGCGTGATGACGTCAGCGCGTAACGTGATGAAGTTGAGTGTAGTAGTGTAGTGTGTAGTAGTGTATAGTAGTGAATAGTGTATTGAGTAGTGTATAATGTAGTGTATAGTGTAGTGTACAGTGTAGTGTATAGTATAGTGTAGTGTGTAGTGTATAGTGTAGTGTAGAGTGTAGTGCATAGTAGTGTATAGTGTAGTGTATAGTGGTGTAGTGTATAGTAGTGTAGTGTATAGTAGTGTATAGTAGTGTAGTGTATAGTAGTGTAGTGTTTAGTAGTGTAGTGTATAGTAGTGTAGTGTGTAGTGTAGTGCAGTGTGTAGTGTAGTGTAGTATATAGTGTAGTGTATAGTAGTGTATGGTGTAGTGTATAGTGTATAGTAGTGTAGTGTATGGTGTAGTGTATAGTAGTGTAGTGTATAGTGTAGTGTATAGTGTAGTGTATAGTGTACAGTAGTGTAGTGTATGGTGTAGTCTGTAGTGTATAGTGTAGTGTATAGTAGTGTAGAGTGTAGTGTATAGTGTAGTGCAGTGTGTAGTGTATAGTGTAGTGCAGTGTATAGTGTAGTGCAGTGTGTAGTGTATATTGTAGTGTATAGTAGTGTAGTGTATAGTGTAGTGTAGTATATAGTGTAGTGTGTAGTGTAGTGTATAGTGTAGTGTATAGTGTAGTGTATAGTAGTGTAGTGTATAGTTTTGTTAAGTGTAGTGTATAGTATATAGTAGTGTAGTGTATAGTGTAGTGTATAGTAGTGTATAGTGTAGTGTATAGTGTAGTGTATAGTGTAGTGTATAGTAGTGTATAGTAGTATAGTGTAGTGTATAGTGTAGTCTAGTGTATAGTAGTGTAGTGTTTAGTGTATAGTAGTGTAGTGTATAGTAGTGTAGTGTATAGTAGTGTAGTGTATAGTGTAGTGTATAGTGCAGTGTAGTGTGTAGTGTATAGTGTAGTGCAGTGTCTAGTGTATAGTGTAGTATATAGTAGTGTAGTGTATAGTGTAGTGCAGTGTGTAGTGTATAGTGTAGTGTATGGCGTACTGTATAGTGTAGTGTATAGTAGTGTAGTGTATGGTGTACTGTGTAGTGTAGTGTATAGTAGTGTAGTGTATAGTGTAGTGCAGTGTGTAGTATAGTGTAGTTTATAGTAGTGTAGTGTATGGTGCAGTGTATAGTAGTGTAGTGTATAGTGTAGTGTATGGTGTAGTGTATAGTAGTGTAGTGTATAGTGTAGTGTATAGTAGTGCAGTGTGTAGTGTATAGTGTAGTGCATAGTGTAGTGTACAGTAGTGTAGTGTATGGTGTAGTGTATAGTAGAGTAATGTATAGTGTAGTGTATAGTAGTGGGGATCACGAACTCCGCCCCGTGGTTCTGCTACACTCACAAGGGGATCACGAACTCCGTGGTTCCGCTACCCTCACACGGGGATCACGAACTCCGCCCTGTGGTTCCGCTCTCACTCACACGGGGATCACGAACTCCGCCCCGTGGTTCTATTCGAGCTACGAGGTTCCTGTGTGTGTGTACACTGTGTGTGTACACTGTGTGTATATACACACACACCGTGTACGCACACACACACCGTGTACACACACACACACCGTGTACACACACACACACACCGTGTACACACACACACACACACCGTGTACACACACACACACACCGTGTACACACACACACACACTGTGGGAGGGGAGTGTTATCGTTCCCCACAAGTGACGTCATGTCACCGTCTGCTGCCGCGTGACGTCACGAGAAAACAGGAAGCTGTAGCTCCGTCCGTGCACTGAAATCCGAGGTGAGAAATTCTAATCGCGGTTGTTGTGGTGGTGGTGGTTGTGGTGGTTGTTGTTTACCGAGGTAGAGCCTCGCTCTCTCTCGTAGGGATGTCAATTGAGTAGCAGCGAGCATGGAAGCGATGTCCAGGTTGGAACTTTACAGCGCGGGGCCCAGCCACGCGGGGTCTTGCCTCCTGCCCTCGCCTGATCGCGTTTGCTTCAATTCTCTCGCTTATGTTTAATTTGTCTTCACTCGGCTCGCCACTTTGTCACTTTGGTTTACTTTTAAATATTCATGCAGTTTTTATTTCATCTTTTTTTACCAGGCCAAGCCCGCTTGAGCTGCTGTACCGCTTTTGTTTTCAGAAGCCACCTGCCCACAACACAAAGTGAGGCTCGTCAACAGCGTGGCGGTGTTCACTCTAGACATGTGGCGGTGTTCACTCTAGACGCGTGGCGGTGTTCACTCTAGACGTGTGGTGGTGTTCACTCTGGACGCGTGGCGGTATTCACTCTAGATGCGTGGTGGTGTTCACTTTAGACGCGTGGTGGTGTTCACTCTAGACGCGTGGCGGTGTTCTCTCTGGACGCATGGCGGTGTTCACTCTAGACGCGTGGCGGTGTTCACTCTAGACGCGTGGCGGTGTTCACTCTAGACGCGTGGTGGTGTTCACTCTAGACGCGTGGCGGTGTTCACTCTAGACGCGTGGCAGTGTTCACTCTAGACGCGTGGCGGTGTTTACTCTAGACGCTTGGCGGTGTTCACTCTGGACGCATGGCGGTATTCACTCTAGACGCGTGGCGGTGTTCACTCTAGACGCTTGGCGGTGTTCACTCTGGACGCGTGGCGGTGTTCACTCTAGACGCGTGGCGGTGTTCACTCTAGATGCGTGGCGGTGTTCACTCTAGACGCTTGGCGGTGTTCACTCTGGACGCGTGGCGGTGTTCACTCTGGACGCGTGGCGGTGTTCACTCTGGACGTGTGGCGGTGTTCACTCTGGACGCGTGGCGGTGTTCACTCTGGACGCGTGGCGGTGTTCACTCTAGACGTGTGGTGGTGTTCACTCTGGACGCGTGGCGGTATTCACTCTAGACGCGTGGCGGTGTTCACTCTAGATGCGTGGCGGTGTTCACTCTAGACGCGTGGCGGTGTTCTCTCTGGACGCGTGGCGGTGTTCACTCTAGACGCGTGGCGGTGTTCACTCTAGACGCGTGGCGGTGTTCACTCTAGACGCGTGGCGGTGTTCACTCTAGATGCGTGGCGGTGTTCACTCTAGACGCGTGGCGGTGTTCTCTCTGGACGCATGGCGGTGTTCACTCTAGACGCGTGGCGGTGTTCACTCTAGACGCGTGGCGGTGTTCACTCTAGACGTGTGGCGGTGTTCACTCTAGACGCGTGGTGGTGTTCACTCTAGACGCGTGGCGGTGTTCACTCTAGACGCGTGGCAGTGTTCACTCTAGACGCGTGGCGGTGTTCACTCTAGACGCTTGGCGGTGTTCACTCTGGACGCATGGCGGTATTCACTCTAGACGCGTGGTGGTGTTCACTCTAGACGCTTGGCGGTGTTCACTCTGGACGCGTGGCGGTGTTCACTCTAGACGCGTGGCGGTGTTCACTCTAGATGCGTGGCGGTGTTCACTCTAGACGCTTGGCGGTGTTCACTCTGGACGCGTGGCGGTGTTCACTCTGGACGCATGGCGGTGTTCACTCTGGACGCGTGGCGGTGTTCACTCTGGACGCGTGGCGGTGTTCACTCTGGACGTGTGGCGGTGTTCACTCTGGACGAGTGGCGGTGTTCACTCTGAACGCGTGGCGGTGTTCACTCTAGACGCGTGGCGGTGTTCACTCTAGACGCGTGGCAGTGTTCACTCTACTTGGTGGAGTGAGGAAGCATCAATTCTGAGCAGGTGAAGGTGGCCAGGCGTGGGTCTGGACACACCACTACCTGTAAATTATGCCAGTGCATGACAGTGCTGGAGCCAGTGGGGGTGGGGTTGCACGTGCCCCCCAAACGGTCCGATCGAAATCCCTAATTTCGATCGGACCATTGGGGTTTATTAGTAACTAGCTTCACTACCCGGCTTCGCCCGGGACTTGGATTCTTGTCTTGGATAAATTTCATATTCCCTTATCTGTGTTGCGGGTTGACGCCACACACTCCATGGTCATTTTCCCCGCCCCCCAAAATACAAAAATATATTTTAATACTTTGTGCATTGTGTCCAGTCTGGAAGCTACCCACATGCCAAATTTCAAGTGTGTAGCATGTTGGGAAGTATGCTGATCATTTCAAACAGACACAAATTCGCAAATTTCCCTTTTATAAATATAGATAAATCAGCATTTTGCGATCCCCACTGCCACCGTGTAGCATATTATTACGTGCAAGGGACTCTATGAGAGGACAACAGTCCGAGTCCATAATTGGCAATAATTAACGGCAAAGCAGTTACAAGCGACTCACATAATTGTGCGCAGTTGCGTATACAGTCCACGGCTTCCCTGATGGAAAAAACCTTCAGCGAGCGCGATGCCTATCACACGTGTCGAATAAAAAGCAAAGGACAAGTCCTTACTAACAACTCCTTACTAACAACTCCTGACTAACAACTCCTTCCTAACAACTCCTATCATTTTTCATTGCTGAAGGGGTTGCCCCCCCTACCTGAAAATCCTGGCTCCACCTCGGAGTGTGTGACAGGGTCAAGTTTGTATTTGCAGTAAAGTCTATTAACTCTATTGAGCACGGAGTTATATCAAAACAGTGTTTATATTTGTTTTCCTCTGCAACTCTTTGTAAGAATGGAGTCAGGAAGTTATCACAGCACACGTGCAGCTGAAGTCGGAACTGCTCATCCCAGCATTCAAGGACATCTGTCCCTGGCTTCACACCTCTAAATTGCGATTGAATATTAATTTATGCATTTCTGCATAACACAAATAGTATTATTTTCAACACCCTTTGCTATGTGAGCTGAATTTAGCTTTCATAAATATTCCTTTTGAAGCCAGAGAGCCGAAATTGTGTTCTTGGAGTTTTGGGTTAACATTCATTTTGAAGATACGAGGGCTTTTGGGCACGTTTATGACCATTTGCCCTCTCATTGTGTGCCATAACAGCCCGTGTTATGAATTTGTGACACTTTTTCACTATATCATGAATATATGAATAAGTATAGACGTGTTAGTCACATGTGACTGTGTATATATGTATTCCTCTGTGCCTCGATACTGACGTGTAGATGGTGTGGATATTATTTTTTTCTGTCTGCAACTGTCGCTTTCTCTGCAGAATTTGTCTGATGGAGCAAAGGCACTCGGCGCAGCTCGGTGCAAAAAGGCATCAATGCGACCGGTGTGCATACAGCACGGATCGTCCTGACCATTTGACACGGCACCAGATAACTCACACAGGAGAGAAACCCTTCAAGTGCAGTGTGTGTGGGAAGGCGTTTGCATGTTCATCTACTTTTGTAACACACCAGAGAACTCACACGGGAGAGAAACCCTTCAAGTGCAGTGTGTGTGGGAAGGCGTTTTCAGATTCATCTCCTCTTGTAACACACCAGAGAACACACACGGGAGAGAAACCTTTCAAGTGCAGTGTGTGTGGGAAGGCATTTTCACAGTCATCTGCTCTTGTAACACACCAGAGAACACACACAGGAGAGAAACCCTTCAAGTGCAGTGTGTGTGAGAAGGCTTTTGCACATTCACCACATCTTCAAGTACACCAGAGAACACACACGGGAGAGAAACCCTTCAAGTGCAGTGTGTGTGGGAAGGCGTTTGTACATTCATCTACTCTTAAAAAACACCAGAGAACACACACAGGAGATAAACCCTTCAAGTGCAGTGTGTGTGGAAAGGCGTTTACACAGTCATCAAATCTTCAAAGACACCAGAGAACCCAAAAGCATCAGAAGATCCACAAGGAGTGGAGTCTGCAATCAGCTTGTGAAAGTCAAAGTGCCTCAATGAGCCCATCTCTCATGAAACAACCAGAAGAAAATTCCAGCTTGGACACTTTTAAAGGTATCGAGGTGAAATATGAAGAGGTGAAGGTGAAATGTGAAGAAGTGATGGTGAAGAGCGAAGAAGTGAGGGTAAAATGTGAAGATGAAGATTCAACTCCAAAATGGGACCTTCACATCGATGGAGGCAACGTAAAGCAGGAGGAGAATTCTGACTGCGAGGCAGAGCGAGGCAACTCCCAGCAGTTTGTAGAAGTGGAGGTGTGGGTGGACTTCCTCCATGACAATACAAAGTCAAATGGAGACCCGGTAGATGTGTAAGCTTGAGACGATGTTGCTCCAATAGATGCATCTTTGTCACAGGCCTTTAATGACAAGAATGTGAAGTTGAACACTCAATTCCTAGGTTCAACCTGCAGGGTAAGAGCGGCCAGTCTTTGTGGACCTGTGGGTTGCGTAGATCTCTAACCAGGAGCGAGAGCCAATAAGCTCTCAAGCATTCGCTATGTTATCAATTGCGTTTATATGGTGCTTGCTTAATCGCCTATGGCAATTCGGAGTGTTGTATCGTATCGCGTCTAAAACACTCGAAGAGCATCCCCAAGTAGCAGCTGCCCCAGTGTGGCACAAGGTGGTGGCCCTGCACCGGCCTGCATGTGGACAAGAGCCTGTCAGTAGGGGGCGATGGATGATGTGGCATCTCAGTTGTGGAGTTTGTAGGTAATGTTTAGAATTTTCTCAATTTTGACCGAGACACCAACATGCAATGGCCTACTCATTTTGAATGTCGCAATAGTATGTTATACATACACTGTTAAGCGTATTTTTTAAATAGCTTGTTAATGCGATGTAACCTGATGCAGTATATTTCACTGCAGTAATTCAATTTTGCTAATATTCCTGTCAATTTAGAATGAATATGTGCGTACATGTGACATTTTGTCTATAAGGGTCAAACATTAAATAAGTGATGTTCGGACAAAGTGTGTGCTTTGGAAGTAACCTGTACAGATAATGCGGGTGAGACTCATTGTTCTTGTGATACAGGTCAATGGGTATTTTTGTGTTTTCAGGAAGCATCTCCCTCTGCAGCAACTCATTGTCGTTGAAATAGGGAGAACACTTGGATCATTCATCAGTTACAAGGCATACCACTCAAAAGTTACACGTAGAGGAGATAGTTTCTACAACACGAATTCTAATTTTGTATTACGTGTTGACGTAGATTTTGTCGAACTAGGACGAGAAATGGTCCTTGCTGATTAACGTCTGGATGTTCACAACCAAGGGTTGAAGCAAGCCAGACCGCCTGCAACGCCCCTCGCAACCATTTATGTCCTTGGGCCAGGAAAGTCACGAAAAAAATTGCACACGAACGACCCATTCACGCAAGCTCCCGATGCTCCATTTTGAAGTTTGAGTTAGATCATTGCATTTATTCATTACAAGCCTATTTTACATCTGGAAGACTTCATTGAAAACGACATTTTGTGTGAATTTCCTCTCGTCATTAAGTAGATTGCCTCGCCGGGGATTCGGTTCGATGCGGAATTTCACCTGGTTGGGATTGCGGGATCGAGATGAGGCGACACAGAGCTGGCCATGCGAGAAGACTGCCGTCCGCAGATCGATTCCAACGCGATCGAACGTCTGTCCCTGCACCTCCGTTGTTCATGCAGGGGGTGTGTAGGTTTACAGCGCCCCCTGCATGAAAACGACGGAACGTGCAGCATTTGTCACGAAGTTGTGCGTAAGCGCCATAACAAGGCGCTCTAATCTGACCTGCCACCACGTTCACGGGTCAACGGGGCAGCCGAGAGAGAGAGCGAGGTTCGTAGGGGTTGACCAAAGGTTACACCCCCGCCCCCCCCCCCCTGACCGGAGACTAACACCCCTGACCCGACGTCCCACATTGCTTACACGTAAACACCACACACAATGAAATAAATAGAAACTGGAACGACTGAAATTTTGATTTAAAGCTTTCGTGACTGCAGTGATACATATTCTTGGTTCTTTCGGTAAAGTCACGTTATTTTAGTGTTTCCCTTCAACGTGACTTTACCGAAAGAACCAATAATATAGAACGACTTAATTACGGGGATAGGCAAAGATTGAGGAATCTCTTTCAATGGAGTGAGTTAAGTGTGTTCGATTCAACATCTCTGTCTGTCTGTGTCTCTGTTCCCCTCTGTGTGTCTCTCTCGCTGACTGTGTCTCTGTCGTCTCTGTATCTTTCTTTCTGTGTTCCTCTTGTCTGTGTCTGTCCACCTCTCTCTCTTGTCAGTCTCTGTGTGTGTCTCTATCAGCGTCTTTCCAACCGTATTCAACTACTGTCAGTAGCAACATGCGCCCGTTCAACTTTGACGGCCCACGACTGCGCGCGACTCAAGCTCGCTCCGAGTCTTTGTGTGTACGTGGAACTTGTTTTGCACCATACGTAGCCAACCATGCTAATCTGTGGGTCGCTTTAACACGTAGGCTTTCTCGACCAATATTATTCATAATAAAGGTTTTTGGGTTAGATCGCGTTATATATAAATGTGTCGTAACCCTCCACCACCCGACACGGCCAATCAGCAAAAAAGTGTCACGTTGACAAAAGACAAATAATTCACTACTTTAGCCCACCGGTGTGTTGAAAAGTGAATCCTACAACATTTACAGTTTGAGTACGACGTTTCGCTGGTAAATACATCTGGCGAATTGCCCGATGATGCTGGATGTATTTACCAGCGAAACGACGTACTCAAACCGTAAATGTTGTAGGATTCACTCTTCAACACACCGGTGGGCTAAAGTAGTGAATTATTTGTCTTTTGTCAACGTGACACTTTTTTTGCTGATTGGCCGTGTCGGGTGGTGGAGGGTTACGACACATTTATAAATAACGCGATCTAACCTAAAAACCTTTATTATGAACTGTGGGTCTCTGTGTGAGTCTCTGTGTGTATCTGGAACGTCTTTCGCACCGTACGTAGCCGAACCTGCACAGAAGGAGCGGCTGGTATCTGTGGAGCTGTGGCTGGGTAAATCTGTCAGCAGGAGCAAGAGACAATGAAGCTACCAAGCATTCACTACGTTACCAACATCATATTTGCACTCATAAGTCTCTTGCCTAATTGCCTCGGCAACTCAGTGTTTCGTATCGAATCTAATCTCAAACAATCGAAGGACGCCCCCTAAGTGGCAGCTGCCCCTGTGTGGCACAAGGTGGCCCTGCACCGGCCTGCACGTGGACATGAGTCTGTCGGTAGGGGGCGATCATTGACGCGCCATCTCCGTTGTGTAGTTTCTGGATAATGTTTGGAATTACCCCAATTTTGACCGTGACACCAACATGCAATGACCTGTGCGTTGTGAATGACACAACGCTATGTTTTACATCTGCGGTGAAGCAGACTGCGCATATTTTGGTGAATGTTAGTGGAGTAGCCAGGTGTGCCTGTCGGATTTTAACCTTCAACCTCGGAAATAAATAGAGAATGTGCTACGATATTCTTGGTTCTTTCAGTAAAGTCACGAAAATAGCAAACAAAAAAGAAAAACTTTTTTGGAAAATAATAAATGCATGAAAAAATGCCATTGGTCGACTGAGATGACTGCGCCCCGCAGTGTGTACACGTACACATAGTGTTTACGTGTACACACAGTGTACACACACAGTGTGCACACACACAAAGTGTACACACACACAGAGTGTACACACACACAGTGTACACACACACAGAGTGTACACACACAGTGTACACACAGTGTGTACACACACAGTGTACACGTACACACACAGTGTACACGTACACACACAGTGTGTACACACACACAGTGTACACACAGTGTACACACACACAGTGTACACACACACACTATACACACACAGTGTACACACACACAGTGTACACACACACAATGTACACACACACAGTGTGTGTACACTGTGTGTTGCTGAGCTCAAACACCCAAGGGGTCTCTGATCAAGGGAGGGAGCAATGGAAAATAAATCTAAATCAAATGAAACTCCAACCCCGCTCGGTGACGTCACCACTCAACATTACCTCATCGGCGTGAAACGCCAGGGGGAGGTGTACCTCGCTAGTGACGTCATGTCACCAAGTTATTCACCCCACCCCGTCCAAGGCGCCCTTGTCTGTGACGTCACCTCTGCCTGGGTTCGTTGAATTTTCAGTTCAAGTGACGTCATGTCACCTCTTGCTGCCGCGTGACGTCACGAGATAACTGGAAGCTGCTGCTCCGCCGTGCACTGAAATCCGAGGTGAGAAATTCTCATCGCGAATGTGGTTGTGGTGGTTGTTGTTGTGGTGGTTGTTGTTTACCGAGGTAGAGCCTTGCTCTCTCTCGTAGGGATGTCAATTGAGTAGCAGCGAGCATGGAAGCGATGTCCAGGTTGAAACTTTACAGCGCGGGGCCTAGCCACGCGGGGCCTTGCCTCCTGCCCTCGCCTGATCGCGTTTGCTTCAATTCTCTCGCTTAAGTTTAATTTGTCTTCACTCGGCTCGCCACTTTGTAACTTTGTTTTACTTGTTGTGGTGGTTGTTGTGGTGGTGGTTGTGGTGGTTGTTGTGGTTGTTGTGGTGGTGGTTGTGGTTGTTGTGGTGGTGGTTGTGGTGGTGGTTGTGGTGGTTGTTATTGTGGTGGTTGTTGTTGTGGTGGTTGTTGTGGTGGTTGTTGTGGTGGTGGTTGTTGTGGTTTTGGTGGTGGTGGGGGTGGTGGTTGTGGCTGTGGTGGTGGTTGTTGTGGTGGTTGTGGTGGTTGTGGTGGTAGTGGTTGTTGTGGTGGTTTTTGTGGTGGTGGTTGTTGTGGTGGTTGTGGTAGTGGTTGTGGTGGTTGTTTTGGTGGTGGTTGTGGTGTTGGTGGTAGTTGTGGTTTGGTTGTTGCGGTGGTTGTGGTTGTTGTGGTGGTGGTAGTTGTGGTAGTGGTGGTGGTTGTGGTGGTGGTTGTGGTGGTGGTGGTTGTTGTGGTGGTGGTGGTTGTTGTGGTGGTGGTTGTTGTGGTGGTGGTTGTTGTGGTGGTGGTTGTTGTGGTGGTGGTTGTTGTTGTTTACCGAGGTAGAGCTTCGCTCTCTCTCGTAGGGATGTCAATTGAGTAGCAGCGAGCATGGAAGCGATGTCCAGGTTGGAACTTTACAGCGCGGGGCCTAGCCACGCGGGGCCTTGCCTCCTGCCCTCGCCTGATCGCGTTTGCTTCAATTCTCTCGCTTAAGTTTAATTTGTTTTCACACGGCTTGCCACTTTGTCACTTTGAATTACTTTTAAATATTCACGCAGTTTTATTGCATTCTTTTTTACCAGGCCAAGCCCGCTTGAGCTGCTGTACCGCTTTTGTTTTCAGAAGCGACCTGCCCACAACACAAGGTGAGGCTCGTCAACAGCGTGGCGGTGTTCACTCTAGACGCGTGGCGGTGTTCACTCTAGAAGCGTGGCGGTGTTCACTCTAGACGTGTGGCGGTGTTCACTCTAGATGCGTGGCGGTGTTCACTCTAGACGCGTGGCGGTGTTCACTCTAGACGCGTGGCGGTGTTCACTCTAGACGCATGGCGGTGTTCACTCTAGACGCGTGGCGGTGTTCACTCTAGACGCGTGGCCGTGTTCACTCTAGACGTGTGGCGGTGTTCACTCTAGACGCGTGGCGGTGTTCACTCTAGACGCGTGGTGGTGTTCACTCTAGACGCGTGGCGGTGTTCACTCTACACGCGTGGCGGTGTTCACTCTAGACGCGTGGCGGTGTTCACTCTAGACGCGTGGCGGTGTTCACTCTAGACCCGTGGCGGTGTTTACTCTAGACGCGTGGCGGTGTTCACTCTAGACGCGTGGCGGTGTTCACCCTAGACACGTGGCGGTGTTCACTCTAGACGCGTGGCGGTGTTCACTCTAGTCGCGTGGCGGTGTTCACTCTAGACGCGTGGCAGTGTTCACTCTAGTCGCGTGGCGGTGTTCACTCTAGACGCGTGGCGGTGTTCACTCTGGACGCGTGGCGGTGTTCACTCTGGACGCGTGGCGCTGTGTTCACTCTGGACGCGTGGCGGTGTTCACTCTGGACGCGTGGCGGTGTTCACTCTGGACGCCTGGCGGTATTCACTCTGGACGCGTGGCGGTGTTCACTCTGGGCGCGTGGCGGTGTTCACTCTGGGCGCGTGGCGGTGTTCACTCTGGGCGCGTGGCGGTGTTCACTCTGGGCGCGTGGCGGTGTTCACTCCGGACGCGTGGCGGTGTTCACTCTAGACGCGTGGTGGTTTTCACTCTAGACGCGTGGCGGTGTTAACTCCGGACGCGTGGAGGTGTTCACTCCATACGCGCGATGGTGCTCACTCTCTACATGTGGATGGGAAACCAGGGGATCGGGAGGGAAATCCACGCGACCACGGGGAGAGAGAGAGAGAGACGCAGCCTCGGCGATGTTGATTGATCCTCAATGAATTACTTGGTGGAGTGAGGTAGCATTAATACTGAGCAGGTGAAGGTGGCCAGGCATGGGTCTGGACACACCACCACCTGTGAACCATGCCAGTGTGTGACAGTGCTGGAGCCAGTGGGGGTGGGGTGGCACGTGACCCCCCAACGGTCCGATCGAAATCCCTAATTTCGATCGGATCATTGGGGTTTATTAGTAACTAGCTTCACTACCCGGCTTCGCCCAGGACTTGGATTAATTTCATATTCCCTTGTTTCATTGAAAAACCCTGAAAAAAATTGATGCTTGCAAGATAGAAAAAAGCCGACAATCAATTTAAGTAAATCGGATGTTTTTCACTGAAGGAAATTTAACCTTAACCCACTTATACGTAATGTCGACTTTGGCAACTCGGGAAGGGAATGACGTGACAAGCTGAAAATAGTCGCGTTCACTTAGAAATTCCAGACAGCATAAGCTGTGAAAATTTCAGGACTTCAGAGCTCAGCGTTGGAGAGTTTTGCTTCACACAAACAAACAGATGTAATGTTCTGCTTCATTTTTAATATAGCAGTTCTACCCGTTCTTCGCATGGATATGTATGGAAACTCCGAGAAACCAATGGCTTCATCGGCCAGGAGCAAAGCGCCACCTAAAATCTTTCGGCACGCTGTTAACAGCTCTAGAAGTACGTCGCGAGTAGAGCCATATGGTAGCGGTAAGCATTGCAGAGCGCTTAAGTCAAGTGTGTTGCGGGTTGACGCCACATACTTCATGGTCTCCCCGCCCCCCCCCCCCCCCCCAAAATACAAAAGTATATTTTTTATAGTTTTTTCATTGTCTACAGTATGGAACCTACCCACATGCCAAATTTCAAGTGTGTTGCATGTTGAGAAGTATGCTAAACATTTCGAACAGACACACATGTCCACACATTTCCCTTTTATATATAGATTAGCTTTACTACCCGGCTTCGCCCGGGACTTTGATTCTTGTCTTGGATTAAAACACGGCCTTCGCGGAGTGTTGGGGGGGGGGATGCGTGACGTCAGCAGGCACACTGCGTAACGCTGCCGCATAGGATTACATCTCAGATATGACGGCTATTTTAATACTTTGTGCATTGTGTCCAGTCTGGAAGCTACCCACATGCCAAATTTCAAGTGTGTAGCATGTTGGGAAGTATGCTAAACATTTAGAACAGACACACATATCCACACATTTCCCTTTTATATATATAGATAAATTAGCATTTTGCGACCCCCACTGCCACTGTGTGGCATATTTTTACGTGCCAGGGACTCTATGAGATGACAACAGTCCGAGTCCATAATTGGCAATAAGTAACGGAAAAGTAGTTACAAGCGACTCACAGAATTGTGCGCAGTTGCGTGTACAGTACACGACTTCCCTGAAGGCAAACACCTTCAGCGAGCGCGATGCCGATCACACGTGTCGAATAAAAAGCAAGGGACAAGTCCTTAATTACTAACAACTCATTAATAACAACTCCTTACTAACAACTCCTTACTTACTAACAATTCCTTACTTACTAACAACTCATTACTTACTATCAACTCCTTACTAATATCTCCTTACTTACTAACCCCTATCATTTTTCATGGCTGAAGGGGTTGTCCCTCCTACCTGAAAATCCTGGCTCCACCTTTGAGTGTGTGACAGGGTCAAGTTTGTATTTGCAGTAAAGTCTATTAACTCTATTGAGCACGGAGGTGTATCAAAACAGTTTATTTTTGTTTTCCTCTGGAACTCTTTGTAAGAATTGAGTCAGGAAGTTATCACAGCACACATGCAGCTGAAGTCGGAACTGTTCATCCCAGCATTCAAGGACATCTGTGCCTGGCTTCACACCTCTAAGTTGCGATTGAAAATTAATTTATGCATTTCTGCATAACACAAATAGCATTATTTTCCACACCCTTTGCTATGTCAGATGAATTTAGCTTTTCATAAATATTCCGTTTGAAGCCAGACAGCTGAAATTGTGTGCTCGGAGTTTTGGGTTAACATTTATTTTGAAGATACGAGGGCTTCCAGGCACGTTTATGACCATTTTCCCTCTCATTGTGTGCCATAATAGCCTGTGTGATGAATTTGGGACACTGTTTCACTATAACATGAATATATGAATAAGTATAGACATGTAAGTCACGTGTGACTGTGTGTATGCATTCCTGTGCTTCGATACTGACGTGTAGATTGTGTGGATATTCTTTTTTTCTCTCTGCAGCTGTCGCTTCCTCTGCAGAATTTGTCTGATGGAGCAAAGGCACTCGGCGCAGCTCGGTGCAAAAATGCAACAATGCGACCGGTGTGCATACAGCACGGATCGTCCTGCACATTTGACCTTGCACCAGAGAACACACACAGGAGAGAAACCCTTCAAGTGCACTCTGTGTGGGAAGGCATTTTCAGTTTCATTTGCTCTTGTAAGACACCAGAGAACACACACGGGAGAGAAACCCTTCAAGTGCAGTGTGTGCGGGAAGGCATTTTCAGTTTCATCTGCTCTTGTAACACACCAGAGAACACACACGGGAGAGAAACCCTTCAAGTGCAGTGTGTGTGGGAAGGCGTTTTCAGATTCATCTGCTCTTAAAAAACACCAGAGAACTCACACGGGAGAGAAACCCTTCAAGTGCAAAGTGTGTGGGAGGGCGTTTTCAGATTCATCTACTCTTAAAAAACACCAGAGAACTCACACGGGAGAGAAACCCTTCAAGTGCAGTGTGTGTGGGAAGGCGTTTTCAGATTCATCTACTCTTGTAGCACACCAGAGAACACACACGGGAGAGAAACCCTTCAAGTGCAGTGTGTGTGGGAAGGCGTTTTCAGATTCATCTACTCTTAAAAAACACCAGAGAACTCACATGGGAGAGAAACCCTTCAAGTGCAATGTGTGTGGGAAGGCTTTTGCACTTTCACCAAGTCTTCATGTACACCAGAGAACACACACAGGAGAGAAACCCTTCAGGTGCAGTTTGTGTGGGAAGGCGTTTACACAGTCACCACATCTTCAAAAACACCAGAGAACTCACAAGCATCGGAAGATCCACAAGGAGTGGAGTCTGAAATCAGCTTGTGAAAGTCAAAGTGCCGTAATGAGCCCATCCCTCATGAAACAAGAACCGGAAGAAAATCCCAGCTTGGACACTTTTAAAGGTATCGAGGTGAAATATGAAGAGGTGAAATGTGAAGAAGTGATGGTGAAGAGCGAAGAAGTGAAGGTAAAATGTGAAGATGAAGATTCAACTCCAAAATGTGACCTTCACATCGATGGAGGCAATGTGAAGCAGGAGGAGAATTCTGACTGTGAGGCAGAGCGAGGCAACGCCCAGCAGTTTGTGGAAGTGGAGGTGTGGGTGGACTTCCTCCGAGACAATACAAAGTCAAATGGAGACCCGGTAGATATGTAAGCTTGAGACGATGTTGTTCCAGTAGGTGTACCTTTGTCACAGGCCCTTAATGAAAAGAATGAAGTTGAACACTCAATTCCTAGGTGCAACCTGCAGGGTAAGAGCGGCCAGTCTTTGTGGACCTGTGGGTTGGGTAGATCTCTAACCACGAGCGAGAGCCAAAAAGCTCCCAAGCATTCACAAGGTTCTAATAATTGCATTTATATGGTGCTTGCTTAATCGCCTCTGGCAATTCGGAGTTTTGTATCGTATCTCGTCTCAAACACTCGAAGAGCATCCCCAAGTAGCAGCTGCCCCTGTGTGGCACAAGGTGGTGGCCCTGCACTGGCCTGCATGTGGACACGAGCCTGTCAGTAGGGGGCGATGGTTGATGTGGCATCTCAGTTGTGGAGTTTATAGGTAATGTTTAGAATTTGCTCAATTTTGACCGAGACGCCAACATGCAATGGCCTACTTGTTTTGAATGACACAATAGTATGTTGTACATATGTAGAGTAGTAGTTAGTGATGTCATGTCATGCTCGCCGTCCGGTACGATGACATCACGTATGGTGATGTCATGCACAGGGGGCGGGACGGTGACATGTCCCCCTGGGATATTTAGGTTGGGACCCGTGACGTGTTCGAGGTCATTGCGAGGAGCCAGGAACGTGTGAATTTGGGAGTTGGGACCCAGGGTATGGGGGAAATGAGCACCAGGCTAGGGTAGCCTGTGGGGGTGCTAAGGAATCCCCAGTACCCTTCCCCTGGGGTGTGGAGTGTAGGCAGTGAGCGTGCAGTACACGGAGTCGTGCATGAAGAAAAGTCCTTAATAAAACTGCCGCAAGCCCCTACATGAAGATCTGCCTCCGAGTCATTTACGCCTCAACAACTGGTGTCAGAAGCAAAACCTGTTAAGAAGACGACGACGACGACTTACCAAGACGTCTTTGATGGAGGAGGACGGCGAGGGAAGGTTCCCCACACGGCCCCGGGGGTTTGCAGCCCGGTTACCCACTGCATGGCGGCGTACAGCAGGTGGGGGACTGCGTCTCCACGCCGCCGCCACCGGGGTGAGAGCGCTGCGCAGCACAGCGCCGCCCCGCCGATTATTTTTATTTTATTTTGCTCGGGGCAGCTGCACTGCTCACCGAGCTCCGAGCTGGAGGAGCCGGGTTGAACGAGTCGGGGTGCCGGGACGGTGGGGAGACGGCTCCGTTGCCGCTGTTCCCGTGCGCGCGGGAAACCGAAGAAACACTGCGCGAGTGGCCGCCATTCACGGCCAGGCAGGACGGAGTTCCCGCCAATAACATGTTTCTGCCAATGACGTGTTCGCACCAATGACGTGTTCCCGCCAATGACATGTTCCCGCGAATGACATGTTCCCACCAATGACGTGTTCCCGCCAATGACATGTTCCCGCGAATGACATGTTCCCACCAATGACGTGTTCCCGCCATTTTCTACACCGGCGGGAGGGTATCTCCGGCCATCTTGGTGACGTCTTCTGTTCGAGTGCGGGAGGCTGGTTCGGGTCGCAAGAGGATACCACGCTCACCGTCCAAGATCTTTCACGGTGTTCAAGTCTCCACCCTGGCATCCTCTGCTCCTCACAGCCTCACAGGCGAGTCGTGACATGACATAAGCACCCGGCCCTAAAAAAAAAAATTAACTTCACCCATCTTGCGTGCGCCGGGTTGCGATTGCGTTTGTTTTGTTTTTACCTCGCTGGGTTGCGGAGCGTGTTAGTCCTCGCTGGGTTGCGGAGCATGTTAGTCCGGTTGTGTACGTGGCGAATTGACGCGGCGTCCATGCGGGTGTCTTCAATGTAACAGTGGTTGTTGTTAATTTCGGCGTCGGGATCGTCATCTTCAGGGGGCAGTTAGTGATTAATTCGTTGTCGGGTGTCCCGAGCTCCGTTAGCATCCTGTGGGTTGCCGTGTTAATGACTCACGTTACATCATTTTTGTTGTTGCGTAGTCGCGATTGTTATTGTATATACTGTATGAAGCTTCGCTCGTAATTGTTCATGTGTGACTGAGAAACTTTGATCGTCATTGTTGCCAAGGTACAAACCGTATAGAGCTTTATATTCTTAGTTTTTTCGGTAAAGTCACGTTGAAGAGAAACAACAAAATAATAATATATATATAAAACAATAAAAAATTCTCACGACGTTTCGACCATAACTCAAACGGTCGTCTTCACCTGAAGACGACCATAACTCAAACGGTCGTCTTCACCTGAAGACGACCGTTTGAGTTATGGTCGAAACGTCGTGAGAATTTTTTATTGTTATATATATATATTTTATTATTTTGTTGTTTCTCTTCAACGTGACTTTACCGAAAAAAACTAAGAATATGAATTACTGCAGTCACGAAAGCTTTAAATCAAAATCGTATAGAGCTTTGTTCGTGATTTTTATCAATGTATAGATTGTATGGATCCTTGCTCGAGAGTGTTAGTAGTGTATGGACTGTTGGGTACTTGCTTGTGATTATTTACTATATACGGATTGTCTGGAGTATTGCTTGTGTGTGTTGCCATGTGCGGACTGGATGGAGCATTGCTCCAAATGATTGACAATGTACGGACTGCGTATACTGCATATACTGCATGTACCGCATTGCACGACATCGTCGATTATTTGGACCATTCGGCATTGGATCGATTCATGGGGGGATCCTAGTTTTAAAAAAATTGTATGGGTGGAATTACTGAGTGTTGCGTGGTTCTTGAGTTGGGTGCCGAAGCCCCGTGGAAATCCCATCGTTGCGGTTGTGTGGGATTTTTGAATGACATGACTGGTGTGGTTCGAACTCGCTGGTGGGTTCGAGGGTGCCCCTTGGGTTCTGTGTGGATCAGGGGTGCGTTGGGCTGTGGATTGCCGCCAGATGGCATCGCTCTCTCTGCTCGATTGTGTACAGCCGAATGCTGCAATGCGAGTCTTGTAGAGAGTGATCGATGTGTCCTCTGTCTCGATTGTGTACAGCCGAATGCTGCAATGCGAGTCTTGGAGAGAGTGATCGATGTGTCCTCTGTCTCGATTTTGTACAGCCGAACGCTGAAATGCGAGCCTGGTGAGAGACGCGCTTTAAAATTCCCCCCGATGCGGCTGACGCGTGAAACTGTTCCAATGTGACGCCGCGTTGGAAAGGTTGTGGGGTGATAACATGGAAATTCCCCCCGATATGGCCGACGCGCGCGGTTTTAGGATGGAGACGCCACGTCGGAAAGGCAGGGGGTGCTAACGGGTGACACGTAATGTCTGTGGTGGTCCTCAGTGAGGGCTGCTGGGACACAAGCGCGGGAAACCACGGAAATGCGGTTCGTGCGTGTGGCCGCCATTTCTGGGCAAGAGCAGGCATATATTTTTTTGTCATGTCGATTTTATATATATATTTTTAAATGTAGATACTGGAGCTGCCCTGAAGTGCGACTTCTTTGCCCAGTACATGGGTCGACCCTGAAGTACGACTTCTCGACTCGGGACGTAGACAGACGTCCGGAATATTAATTGGTGTGTGTGCATGGGTGCTAGGCATGTTGGTCTTCGCCTTCTCACCACCTGACGGATGGGACGGTGGCAGGGTGGTGTGGGACTCTGCCGTCCATGGAGTGATTTCGGTTCGATTACCGGTGTTGGTTGTGCATCCAACGCGTCGGAATCTGTATATTTTTGTATTCTTTTCTCCCGCCGGGCGGCATACAGTCATCTCCACTACCCTGGGGCCGGGTGGCTGTCGTGTCCGACATGCTGAGGCGCGTTTTATGGTGCTGTGCCTCAGGAGGTTGGGTTCTCCTTCTCGTCACAGATTTCTGGCGCCTGCCACGCTTGGAGTCACCGGTCACGCTGACCGGATGTGGACTTGAAGGGGGAGTGGAGCGCCTGTTCGTCACTCCTGCTCTACCTGTTGTTCTCCGAAGTTAGACTTGAGCCATGCAGATGGACCCACCACACGGACACGCTCTAAGACACTGAGGTTTTCTGATCGATGCGTGTCTGCCCGTTCTTGCGTGTCGGTTACCATTGTTGTGACGTTAATGTCTATCTATCCGTGTTGCCGGGGCTCCACTTTCGTAATGGTTGCAGCTGGGTCGGCTGATTTTTTTTTTATGGGGGGGGTGTGATGTAGAGTAGTAGTTAGTGACGTCATGTCACGTTCGCCTCCGGTACGATGACGTCACGTATGGTGACGTCATGCACAGGGGGTGGGACGGTGACATCATGTCCCCCTGGGATATTTTGGTTGGGACCCGTGACGTGTTCGGGGTCGTTGCGAGGAGCCAGGAACGTGTGAAGTTGGGAGTTGGGACCCAGGGTAGGGGGAAATGAGCACCAGCCTCGGGGAGCCTGTGGGTGTGCTAGGGACCTCCCAGGTACCCTTCCCCCGGGGGAGCGATGGGACTCCGGGGTAGGGGGAAATTGGCACCAGGCTAGAGTAGCCTGCGGGTGTGCTAAGGAATCCCCAGTACCCTTCCCCTGGGGTGTGAAGTGTAGGCAGTGAGCATGCAGTACACGGAGTCGTGTATGAAGAAAAGTCCTTAATAAAACTGGCGCAAGCCCCTACATGAAGATCTGCCTCCGAGTCGTCATTTAAGCCTCAACACATA